CGGTAGAGCAAATATTGACCTTTTAGAAATTCTTTCATTACTAAGCCCAACAATTTCAAGCCCATTTGATTTGACATCTCAATTATATTAACCAGATAAAGTTAATGCAATTCGGCATTGTGTAACCATCTGAATTTACCAGTTAATTCATCCTTCTTCGGAAAGAATATTCTGTAAAATACTTTATTTTCAAAAACATTGCTCATCCCTTAATGTAAGCGGCCACGTTTAGCATCCAAAAAGAACTGTAGGTAAGATAATGGTTCCGGGACAAGAAGCGTGAGCTAGGAATCTTATTTGATATATCTAACAATATTTTTGAATTATTGAAGGAAGTTAGTCGACTGTTCTACATATCATGAGTGCTAAATATTGAGGATGCAGTCGTTATAAAGTTTTTATTGGTGCCGACATTTCAATCCAAACATGTTTTGAGCACTGAAGGTATTAAAGTATCCGAATATCTTCATTGCTCAAAACACGCTCTGATGATGACCCACATGTTTGAGTTGAAACGTCTGCACCAATAAAAACTGTGCAAATATAATGACTGCGACCTGAATATTTATCACCCATAATATTTTTGAAGTATTCTAGAGATCATAATTCACTTTTAACTATATAATTTGTAGTATTGATCACGTTCTCATATCCTAAAGAACAGTGATCGTTAGGATAAAATTTTAGAGAAAATAATAATATAAAAAAGGTTTAATTTTAAAGAGTTAATATTGTCAGTTATGGGATTGTTATCTCTTAAGACGAACATAGTTTCTTTTTTCTGAATATGACTAATTATGGATTTGATATAGCTCATCAGGTCTATGAAAAGATAAGATACTATAAATATGTGAAACTAATAGACGGTAAAAGTAATAATATGTAGGTAAAATGTAGTCTAACATGTGGATAGAGTAAACTTAACATAAAGACATATAAATGAGCAATATATGATATATAAATAAAGGAAGTATAAAATGCCGGTAACAAAGTTGGAAATAGAAAATAAGAAAAGCAAAGTTATGATATATATAATAATGGTAACAAAGTTAGAGACTAATGAAATAATAGAACATAGGAAGTTAGAACAAAAAAGTAAAGTATAGTGGTGAAGTAAACAATAATAAAATAATTGGACAATAATTATGCCTGAAACTTGGGCCGAAACATCGGCAAAAATTAAAATAAATATAATTTATTTTTACTTTTTTTCTTTCTCTTCAACGTATTATTTCAACGTAGACAATCATTATTAATTATTGTTGTTTCTGGATCTTCAGATGTAGATGTAAACAAACAGACTAATGTTTACATTTAATCGGAGATATTAGAATTTGAGCTGTAAGATGTAGGGGAGCATGAACTGCTGGTTCATTGATGACAACTGAATGTTGATAGAATACTTTTGTTAGCAAAGACTAGTAGCTGAAGAACCATACTTTTTAGTTCATTAGCCCAAGTGATTGCTATATTGAGGTCATAAGAATATTCTTGTAATCAATCTTGTTTAGTTCTAGAGAATAGGAAAATATAAATCTCTAGGAATATTATTGCCTAAAAATGGGATAAGGCCACTTAATGTATGAAATCGATACGGATGTCCGTGGTTTACACAATATTCAGCAACAAATCATTGTTTTCTGCCTATGCGTTGATATTATCTCTATATTGTTGTTCCTCTTAGATTGCTTTAAGCATATCAGTAGGATGGAGGGATCGATAAATTTGATGGGTCATCGGAATTGGTAAGATCATGTGTTAGTAGGAAGTCCATGTGGAATGATAACTGTTTGGAGTTAATTTTATTGAGCCACAACCTGATAAGCCATCAGGCTCTCTTCTGTTAGGATGATTAATAGGAAAAAAAAAATTAATAATCCATTTTAAAATAAGTAATTAAGATCTTAAATTAAATATGAAACAAATAAAATGATTATTTTCACTACCTACAAAATGCATAAAAAGCTTACGATTGGACTAAAAAAAAATAGCTACTTAAGTTTTTTCTACAAACTTATTATATTTCCACTCATTTAGTTTGGTACTATGGGCCTTTTTAATACAGCCACAAAAACTTGGCACTAAGCAAGTAACCAGTCTGCATCGTATGTTTAGTTATTTTACTTTCAGCCTGATATGGATTCTCTGTCAGTCTTCTTGTCTGCAGTAAGTCCCAAATATCTCACTCCTTGGAAACTAGGAATTGGTCCATTGTTAAAACACACTTTAGGACATGACACATCACTAAGTGTGAAGACAATAACACACTATTTGAATCTTTATTTTATGCTTTCCATCTGGTAGCCCAACCAAAACAATAGTGAAAGTTGTTTTGTTGAATAAAAGATGCTCTGACATGAAAATAGTGTGGGATGTGAAGAGTTCTTTGTCATCAGCCAATACAGTCTATAAGGAGTAGCTATGCTCATGTAAGTCCGAAAATTTAGACTCCAGACATGATCCATAGCTTCTCTCAGCAGAAAAGCGAAATGAATTGTATATACTGGAAATGAAATATATCATAACAACACAATATGATAAATCAATACAAATGGATATGATAAGAAATGAAAAAAAAGTTATAAAAACATTACTTCGTTAACCACAAGAAATAGATGTGGGGAAAGATTTTCACCATATGATATACCTTACTTCAAGAAATTTTCAAATAATTCTATTGGTTAAGACATTAAAAGAAATATTGGCAAAACATAGATAAAAGAAATAATGGACCAATCCCCATTATTGTCTGGACTACATTACTTTTCAGTAGATTATTAACGTCAATGATATAATAAATACAAAAAAGAAACGTAAGACGATATGATAACTAATATTTATTATTATAACAAGGACATGGAGAGAAGTTGAAAGTACTTACTTCAGAAGCTTTCCCTCCTAAATTCATTCCCACTTTGATATATATCCAACAGATAATCATTAATACAAGAAAATGTCCTCAAAATAATTTAAATATCACAAATACGCCTAGCACCAGAAGATCTGAAAATTAGCAGAACTGAGTGAAGCCCAAAAATACCAACCACTAGACACCTACCTACTGGTATCTACGCCGGAAAAGGCGCAAATTGAAAAATGTACTTCAGCGAAATTAAATGAATTGTATAGTCAACGTAACTTCATTAATACAATTAAAATTTAAATAGAAAAGAATACTCGTAATTATTGTTTTTGTAATTCATAGAATTGGAAATAAATGTTCTCTTAAACTTATTGCAAGTATGAAAAATAAAGTTTTATATATATATATATATATATATATAAATATATATATATATATATATATAATATATATAAATTTCAATAAAATATATAATATGCATTTTCTGATTTTCATAGTAAGTTGGAAAGAAGGAAATGAAAACACCAGTAAGAAGAGAAAATTTAATTAAGAAAAAAGTTCTATTTGTAATAAACAATATTACATACATAGTTCTGGGAAAAATATACCTCAAATTTAATCAGAATTAGTGCCGATCTTAGGGCGGGGAAACCGAGGCGATTGCCCGGGGCGCCGACTTGGAGGGGCGCTCGTTGGGATTGCCCATCATCAGTGGCGATTACCACTAGATAGAAATAAAAAAAAATAAAAAACTTATTAAAATAATTAATTTTAGCCTAATAATAAAGCAACTGTATAAGAGAAATATTCAATGAAATAAAATTCAAATACAATAATATAAAACAGCTTAAGAAATAAATTTTATTTTTTTAGTGAAAGGACGGCGCTGTTTAGAATTATCTAGTTTGAATTAAAAAGGGTCCACTATAACAGTTTAATGAAACTTAAATCAAACTAGTCATTTATTCGTTAAGAATAATTAGATCTCAATTAATAATAGAAATCACTTGTCTTTATCAGTCCCTTATTATGATACTCGAATCGAGGAAAGCTCGTTTTAAAATGTTTCTTGTTTGCATTGATATCCGTTGTTTTGAATATTACATGTTAATCTTCCAGAGAATGATTTATATTATTTGATTAAAAGAATAATCATGACACAGAACGGGTTGAATTTACACGCTGGATCCACTACACCTAGGAGCACACTTAAAAAAAATCACTTTAATGACAATGAAAATGTTTATTATAATTTCAGAGAAATCTTTACGTAATCTTATTTAATTCTGTTCATTGATTTGAGTATGTGACGATGGTAAAAAAAAAAAAAAAAAATATGGGTCTAAGAGCATCCGAACTGTGAAAAGGGATATAGATACCATTACCGTAAGTTTGGATTTTCTCTTAATATTTTTCTCTAGTGCAGATTCACAAGCATTCAACATAGTTTCGCAATCGCATTGTTTATAAACTTAAGGGTATTTGGCTAGCACAAAGGGGTCTATGACAGGGGTCGGCAAATCCTGGCTCTTGAGCTACAAATGGCTCTTTGTTGATATCAGTGACGCTCTTTTTTTTTTTTTTTTCATATTTATCCACCGAAAATAGTATTAGTAGTTTAAAATTGGTAAGGTCTTAGGTCTACTAAGTTGCCGTATAATCGTCGAGTAAGTATTTACTTCAATCCAAGGCGGTCGGTCCTATGAAGAGGATGCGCCCATGACGAGATTTTAATAGATGTACTCACTCATATATCATCAAGTATATCCTATAAAATATAAACTATTACGGTATATTAACGCACAGAACCACACAAAAATGGATTATCTATATATTCTGTACATGTGTGAGTGGGAAGAGGCCTCCCGATGTACGGATGTGGAACCTTGGATCCAGAACACATCACATTGACTAATCTCCTAAAATTATTTCTTTAAGTGAGGATTTTAAAATATTAAAACGATAATTAAAACAAGTTATAAAATAGACTAGACCAATCTTCCTAAGTTTTATTTTCTTCTTTCTTCAGTCACGAAAAATTACCTGACAATTTGACCATATCTGAGATAGACTATACTCTTGCATTTTAAATCGATCACAACTAGCTGTAATCGATTTCAAAATTCACATCGAATGAATCAAACTAAGGCCGTGTCATAATCTTGTATACAGATGATATGATATTTCTATATTTGATGGTCGACATGATTTTATAATTGTTTTACTGTGTAATTTAGCAAGACTAATGTATTTCGAATTAGTTTTCTATTGTGTGATTTTTTTTTTAGTATTTGTACCATGGAGCTTGCATGTAATTGTGAAGTATATTTTTGTTAATTTAAAATGACATTTGATAAAAAGCATAAATTTCCTTTTTATATTGTTCTTAGATGGGCGACAACCAAAATTTTTGTGGGAATAAACTTCTTCTTTATGATGAGGCCTGTTTACATATCAAAATTGATAGCCCTGTTCCGCTGAAACTTTATATGCAATCTACGGAATGTTATCAGGTTTAAACTTAAATAGTTGTGATATTTATCTAGTATTTACACTTTGCATTATTCTGTTTAAAGTAGGTTTGTGTATGTATATATCTATATACTTCTTTTAGTGTGATGCCATTCCTTTACCTGATCTCAAGAAACCAGTTGTCGTTTCTACTACCTATCCTACTTTTCTTCAATTAGTTAAAGAAAATGAAAATTTATCTTTTAATGAGTATGTAATCTTAATTTCATTTTTAACAATAGGCATCCATATTGCCTTAATTATATATATTCAGTCCCATAATTATTTTTATGATTTCAGTAGCATATTTCATTTTGGGCAACATGGACATTACAATGTCACTCTATCTGATGGGATTGATATCGTTGAAGACGTAACTCCAGAAGATGCCTATGCCCGTTAGTATTGTGAATCTTTTTAAATTGTTGATGTCATTTTACCTATCTGATTATTATTTTTATTTTTCAGCCTTAAAAATTGAGCTGTTCGCTCTGTTTGTTATAATTATTATGTGTAGTATTAATGCGTTTGCTGCTTCTAGTTCATCAAGATTTTCTAGGTATATTGATGTCAGAGGTTTATTTCAAACAGGTTATTTTCGTGAATTACAAAATGTAATGTTAATTTTGTTTTTGATTATTTTATTTTAATTACAATGATAATTTTTAATTTTGTTTGTATTTCTTATATAGGATTTAGGCTCACCATCGGAAACTTCATCTGAACCTACAGGTTTGATATCATCGGCAGAAAATATAAGGAATAATGCCCAGAATAGTAGGAACTATTCCAGAGTTCAAAGTTTAGATGCATTCAGAGGGTAAATGATTTTTGATTAACATTTTTAAATGTTGAGACAGTGTTCATTAATCTAGATTTTTGTGATAATAGTTCTAATGAAACCCCATAGTAATTTTAATGGTGAAGAAATAGTTGACTGTAGAGATAATATGATTGAGAAGTTGATGGGGAGGAGGAGGAGGTTTGCAGTCATTTACTTTTTCACACAGTTTTCATAGTGACTGTATTTCATTTTATTTTATTAAGGAGTTTCAGATGGCTAGTTTCTTTAGTATTGATTTTTATTCTTGGCTTAAGAATTAAAAATTAAATTATCATTTCATTTTGATCTTTAATGGAGGCCTTGAATTCTCTTTTGTTAACATGAACATTTGACTTTAACCCTTTATCTACTAAAAATCCCCTATAACTCCTGCCCTGAGTGCTAACTTTGGCTATAACTTATATTACTTCGGCGTTTCACTGCTTTTCTTTCTATTAGCTAATGTCGAGTATAGGCATACCGATATTGTTATATTCCATTGGTTTTTAGTGAAATAAAGTTACTAACTAAAGCCTACAGATGCTGTGGGGATTTATTTTGAGTTTTTCTTGTAAAATTCACGAACCATTATTGGTGATTACCTGCTCCGTCCTTTCTCTGGTTGTCTCTACCATTTTCACTCTTGTTTTTGTATTCTGTGTAAAACAACTGCGTGTTCAACTGATCTGACTTTATATATATTTTATTGAGTTTAGTCTAGCTGTTTTAGTTAGAAATTAGATCAAATAGGATTTGTTTAGTTAGTTACATGGCCATACAGAATTAATTATTTTAGTTATAAGTTATAATTTTTTTGTTTGTTTTTGTATCGTTATTTTCTTTGAAATAGAGAAACAGTGGTTTAGAAAGAAAATAAAAAATATATATACGTACAGGAGATGTGTGGTTTGTTCTAAATAAAATATTCGGTGCTTAACAGAAGTAAAATGTCGGAATTGTAAGGTTGGTCTTTGTATTGATAAATTCTTTGAAGAATACTATACTATACTAAGGGTGAAAAGCACACAAAAAGTATGTAGCACAGACTAATAGTCAGGTAGATTTTCTGCTTGAAATGTTTAGGTGTGTTTAAATACCATATGTGATTCTTTACTTACATTTCATGTTTAATACTGTGGGGTTGTCAGTAAGTCATTTTCATGTTTCAGATTGACAATAGTCCTGATGCTGTTTGTCAACTACGGAGGAGGAAAATATAAATATTTTCAACATGCTGTTTGGAACGGTTTAACAATTGCAGATGTAGTTTTCCCTTGGTAATGTCAATTAATTTTTCAATATATTATAAATTCTCCACCTGTATCATTGTAATATTTATATACATTACAGGTTTGCTTTTATCATGGGCATGAGTCTTCTCTTATCAATTTCTGCTCTGTACCGCAATACAAATTCTCGAAGTGCAGTACTTTTAAAAGTCTTTCTTCGAAGTCTTGTTTTAATAATACTTGGTGTTATATTAAATTCTGTAAACCATGATGATATATATACACTACGATTTCCTGGAGTATTGCAAAGGTTGGGCTTGTCCTACTTTATTGTTGGTAGCATTGAAGTATTGTTTTTACGTGCTCACCTTGCAGATTTGGTGAGTTTTAAATTCTTAAATTGGATTTATCTTGTTTCTATTAAAATAACATTTTAATATCTTACCAATTGTATTTTTAAATAAATTTTATTAAATTATGATGAAATAACATTTCTAATAAGTAAGTCAAGGAAATCGTTTATTAGAAAATGGTTAAATTATTTTTTCAACTTATCATCTACTTCCTGTTTGTTGCTTCCTGAGGAATGTTATCGTCAAGTTTGATACATGTTTGCTCTACTATAACTTTGGATCTTTTACATTTAAAAAATTACATGTAAAAAAAAAAAAATTAAAAATGTCAGAAAAAAAATAATTTTCCTTAATAAATTTGACCACAGTATATTATATTGGGTACTTCATGTAAGGTTCATGCTCTGTGCTGTATACTGCTTGAATGATTAATCTCTTGTAATGATTTATGGGGCTTCACTTTTTAAATGACTACTATTAAAAAATGGTGAAGGTAAAATTTAAAGGTGCCATCCAATATTGTGGAAATGTTCAATTTAGGAAGCGAGCTGCTATTGGTTTAGACGAAAATAATATAGGAGCCTTACTATGCACACACATGCTTGGGATTTACGAAATACTAATTTTGTTCTAACAATGATATACAGCCTTTTTTAAATGTAGTTGCTGTTCCCTCCATTCAGTAAAGATTTTTCTTTTAGTTTTATCAAAAAAGATCCATAAGGATATAAAGCATTACCCATTCTTTTGTTTACATATTTTAAATTAGCCTTGATTCTGACTTCAATCATTAAGAATATCTTTGGGATAGGAATTGCAAAGCATGTCCTAAGTTGACAAAACCAACAGGTGTGTGATACATCCTGCAGGAGAGAATTTCCATAGGGATTATTCCTGTAAGGTTGTAATCGAAGATGGCAATCTATTACAACATTATGTACTAAAAGAATAAAGAATTGCAAAATTTAATTTTTATTTCTTTTCAACGATAATTCTCTTTGTTACATTTTTCTCTATGAAATTTTTATTAATATGTTGAATTGTTTATTTTAAAGCAATTATTTCTATATTTTATTGGGGAATATTAAATTTTGATACGAGATTGAACTTTATTATATTAAAAAGTATTTTGTAAAATGTTTAGGAAGTTGGTAGAACGGCATTGATGCAGGTTTCTGGAGTTTTCCAATGGATGGTTTCACTGCTAATAATTGGAGTTCACTCATGTATTACATTCCTTCTTCATGTTCCTGGTTGTCCACCTGGCTACTTAGGACCCGGAGGCTTGCATAAGCATTCATCATTTGAAAATTGTACCGGTGGAGCTGCTGGCTACATTGATCGTTTTATCTTCAAAGAACAACATATTTACAGTAGACCATCCTCAAAGAAAATTTACCACAATGAACAACGTTTTGATCCTGAAGGTGTTGTATTATAGTTTTTACAATATATTTTATTTAAATAAGTCTCATAAGGATAAGATTAAAGGTTAGTTGAAGCGGTTTCTCTTTTATTAATGTTCATCTTGTACTCGGAACACTTTTTATATGTGGGACGGAGCAGAGATAAATCATTAACATTCATCCATCCTTCCATTTAACATGAAAAGGATATGAAAATCGTGCTCATGATTAAATTATAAGGGTTAATATCATGTTCATATGGGAAGGAGGAAGGATCATAATAAATTAAGTTTGATAAGATTTAATTGTTAAGCCCTTCTACATTATACCCCTTAAGGGAGTTTGTTATAGTTTATTTACATATAGTGTAATTTAATTTAATTGGATAATGAAATACCTATATCAAGGGTCTAGTAAAATCATCCTGACAATTAAAAGGAATGCTGTAATGTCCCATCAAATGAGATGGGGAATTATTTACTCCCAAAGTATTTTGATCTGGCTAATAACTTCTACCTTCTAAATTGTTTTAATTTTGAATTCTTAATATCCACAATAATTTTTGATATGTTATATTTAATATTTTCAGGTTTACTCGGAACGCTGACTACTGCACTCACTGTGTTTTTGGGTGTTCATGCTATAAGATTATATGTTGTTTGTAGAAGTCCAAAGAAATTAATGGTTCAGTGGATTGTCATTGCAATTATTACTGTAAACAAAATTTCTTTATTTTAGTGAATATTTTTATCTGATTCAGTTAATTTAATAACTTATAAGCATTTTCTGAATTATGTTCTCAGGGAGTTGTAGCGGGTCTTCTATGCCAATGGAGCCAAGAAGAAGGTGTAATTCCTATCAACAAGAATCTTTGGTCTCTGTCTTTTTCATTAGCCACTGCTAGTCTAGCTTTTATTGCTATAAGTATTTTGTATTTCATCATTGATTACAAAAAGCTGTGGTCAGGGTCACCATTTAAAGAAGTCGGTAAGTGAATAGAAGGTTTTTTTAAATAAAAATTAAAAAATATTATTTGATATAAAATCCTATTCTCGCACGGACTCATTACCGCTTAGGGAGCGTCCCAGGGGTGGGGGATGTGGGGATGGTCAGTGGAAATTTCTAGGAAATTCCTCCCAGCTAAGTCCAATGAACTCACTGATCAACAATGAGGGGAACCCTCCAGACTTGCTATGAGATGTGATATTGGATTGAATGCCGTACTCACATATCTTTAGTTCACCATGCATCATAAATAATCCTGGATCTCTCTAAGATAAAAGGCTCATTATCCGGGGGTAAACTAGTCTCCCTGTTGTAGTCTCTGGGTGGGAACTGCTTTAGTGGATTCATGCCGCAAGTTGAAAAATAGGGATTTAGGTATTGGTACATGGAACGTAAGGAGCTTAAATTCAGCACGTGGGTTAAAATCAGTCGCAAACAAAGTTAATGGGTGAAAATTTGATATCATGGCTCTGTAAGAGGTTCACTGGCCAGGGGACAGCTCAGTAAGGGAAGGAAAATACATTATTTGGTGGTGGCAAGTACACTGAGATTAACGCAGTAAGCCCTAGAGCTTTACATAATTATATAGATTAGTCCAGTATCTGGGATGCAAAATGTTTTGCCTTATTAATGCTTATGTTTTATAATTAATGTAAACTTTTTAAGAACTTCATAATGCTAATTCTAACTAGAATAGACCAGCTGAAAGTAGCATGGTACCAGGGGCCCAAATTTGAAACTAAAATATTTAATTTAAAAATGTATTTTATTTTTCGTTTGTTCTATTTTAAATATTTATTTAAGTAAAAAATTTTAACTGTCTGAAAAAAAGAACTGAGATCGAGTATATCAATTCAAGTTTAATAATTGTAATGATTAGGCATGATATCTTCCAATCAACAATCACTAGTTTAGTCTCTTTTTGTTTATCCATCTGAATGATATATTAATGCTGGTGATTTATAACTTGTGTTGTTATTATCATTTACTTATATTTATTCTTTTCATTGCTATTATCTTTATATTTCTTTATTTAAGGAAAAAATGCCATCTTGATATACCTAGGCTCATCAATATTCAAGGAAACAGTTCCTTGGCATTGGACGCCTGTTGACCTAACAACTCATACCGAGTCACTCATCATGGATACTTGGGGAACTATATTATGGATTATGATTGCTGTTGTTTTTTCAAAAAATAATATTTATCTTGCTATATAAGTTTTTTTAATATATATATTTTTATATTAGAGGAACAAAAGACTGATTAACAGACCATTACATTAATGGTAAGATCTGTTGTGATTTCTCTAACTATGATTGGTGTTCGAGAAAAACCTGACCTTAATTTTTCAGAAGTACACTTTACTAATCTTAATGATTATGGTTATTATTTATGGGACATTTCATGTTATTTTGAAAACAATTTATTGTCAAATAAGTTTTTTGATATTTTATAAGATGAACTGATAGGGGATTTAAAAACATTGAACTTTTTAAAAAAAAAAAACTCTTCTGCAGAATTAAGAGTTGTAGGTTTTTCCGAAACACTAGCTACATAATTGTTTCATAATGCTGAGACAGCTTTTAGTTTTGTAATTAGAGTATTTTTTATACAAATACTAACCATTGTGATAAAGAAATCAGAAGCCTGGAGTAATGATAGAGTGACTTCCCTTATTAGATACTTAATGTTTTCTAACGATTCTAGTTATAGTTTGGTAATTGTAAACTTTATTTTTTATAGTGAACTTAGTTATTATAGTGACATATCACACGGTTTCTTGTTTTCAACTATTACCTAATATGCAATATATTTTAAATTGCTACCAAGGATTTTTTGCATTTAAAAATGATACCATTTATAGTGCGGTTGTAATCCATATTTATATCACATTCCGAAAACAACACACTGACAATGGATTCCCAATATTTACTATGTGCTAAGTTTATAGGACAAACAAAAAACTATTTTAGATCTTTTTTTTTTTTTTTTAAGAGTAAACTGCTTTTGATCCTTTTCCGTACTAACTAATTATATTTAGTCTAGGTAGGAAGTATTGACAGCTCACTGTTTACATGTTCATGGTTTGTGCTATTTTAATATATTGTAAATTTCAGTAAGTGACTAAAATAAAATATTTTAAAAAGTTGTAAAATTTATGAAATATGTATTTGTGGATATCAAGGGTAATAAACATTGTTATAAAACAGATGTATTATTTGTAGTGATTGTAAAAATAAAATAAAAATATTATTGAGACCAACTATGGATTACTTCTAAATGTAATGTTTATTTAGGATGATGTATAGTCAGGATTTTCAATCTGATTTTTTTATTGTGGTTATCGACTTTTCGACTTAAGCATGTGGATGTGGATCATCATTAAGATGAAAGTTTCTGTCTAATGTAGCATCAAGAACTGAGTGGAGTAACTGTTCTATAGACAGAAACTTTGCTCTAATGTTAACTCGACCCACATGCTTTTGTAGAAACGTCGGCAACCAGAATAAAAATATAAAAAAATGAAAATCCTGACTGCAAATCATCCTAGAAAATTTTCAAAACAAGTAAAAAAAAGCCACCTCAAAATTTATTATTTCAAAAATTTCTATCTCTTGCCTATAGCAGTGTCCAGCATTGCACCTAGTCCCATAATCAAAGAATAAGATTTAGTGAAAATTTAGATCTGTGGGGGACAACCAAATTTTTAAACATCAAATGCATCCAATCCTTTCAGTCGAAAGTCCTCCTTATAATAGTCAATGCTCCTTATGTTACTAACAAAACCTTATATCATGACCTTAACATCCCTTATGTCCTTGACGTTATTCCATCCCGATTTTAAAATTTTCATCAGAACCTAATCCATCATCCTAATCCCTTAGCACAATCCTTATCCAGTTCCAGTCATCCCTGCAATCCTCCTCGAAGGTTGAAGTGGCAGTGGCTTCGATATTGTTTGTAAATACATCACAGGAGTCCTGACCAGCTTCTCCACTCAAGTCATGAGCGTATGTGGCTTTAATGCCCTCATCCTAGTGATGTGGCTGAGAGAGAAGCGCTGGGATTTCTTGGAGTCTTGCCTTACCCTCCAAACGTGTGGGAAAGGGCCCGATTCTGAGCTCCCTTGGCTGACTGTAAATAAGTATGAATGTGTTTTTATTTATTTATTTTTTTTATTTAATGTTGTCTCATGTTTGATTTATTCTGTTTTTCAGAGTATTCTTTTCTTTTATTTTGTTATAATCTTGTTTTTCTTTTATTGTATATATGGTATGTTTGTGTTTCATAAATACTAAATACTCAATGCCCTTAATTGAGGCTAAATGTTTTTTTTTTTTTTTACCATTTGAAGAATATCATATTCATAAAATCAATCTATTCCATCCAGATGCTGGTATAAGTGGTTTGCAGATTATAAAGTTAGAAGGGTTGAAATGAAGTTTGAGAGAGTTGATGGAAACGCGTTAGATTTTTTCAACATATTATTTTATGTTGAATCAAATAGAAAATGCTATTCGGCTCAATTCAGATTTATATAAATGGAGAAAGTACAAAATAAATAATTTATTTAATTTTACCTATTTAGGCCCGATTATATTGTTTTTTTGTGATCCATTAAAGAATCATTGGTATCACTAAAAACACTCGGTAGTCATTAAAAAGGTATTGTTTCTTGACAAGATAGTTATACAAAGAAGTTGATGCGATTCATGATAAGCACTCGTACTCAGGCTCTTAGGTAGTTTTGCTACCTGATAAAGGGCCCAAATACCTGTTGTTTATAGAATGGATCTGCCCCAGGAGGGTCTCTCTTCCGATGTCAGGTTCAATCCATGGCTGATATAACAAAGTTTTATACCAACAGAATTGAACTTGGGCCCAAGAGTTAAATATCTTACCCAATGAGCTACTCATAGTTCATGAATCAGTTAATAGCTGTGCCTAATAATGATATAAAATTGAATTTTTATAACAGATTGAACATTCTGTAATAACTAATTACAATAAAACAAATACAAATATGTAATTTTGGATAGTAAGGTGCTTATCTATTAAAATAATTAGAAGCATAGAAATAGTAGCTGTACTTTGAAATATATATTGTGTTCAGATGGTTAATAATTTAATTTTTTAAAAGAATGTAAGATGTGGGTACTTCTGTTGTTACTTTCTAAACCTTAATTTATTCCTAGAACCACTTATTGATTATTTTAAGCTGAGATTATACTCACTGGAAAGATTAGATTAGATTCACTGCTTGTCAATTAAAGTAATGTGGTTGTTGGTAACTAAAACCACTGATTCTGGCAAGTTATTCCTTATATTTTGTCATAATATCACTAATAATGATTTTGAATGTCAGTTTTATAAACAATTATACCACATTTTAGAACAATAAATTCTGTCCTGGGTTTTCTCTAGATGTTTTTTAAAATGTAAAACAATCAAATACTTTCATAAAATAAGATTAATATTAGTTTCTTTATTCTAAAATAGTCAATCTAATTATATTGGATTTAATTCTGCTTAAAATTAAAACATTATTTTGACTGCATTCTTGAACATCACCTAGGTGTGGGAAAGTTAATTTATGAAATATAAATTAGATACTTATTTATTATTTTTTGGGCACTACGGTCCAATATGAACCTTGGGCTCCCTCACACTCTGTCTCCAGCCGTCTGAATTCATCACCCTCCTCCACGCAGTCACTCCAAGGCTCTGGCCAAGTCCTACTCCACATCATTCAGCCAGCTTGTTCTGGAGCGTCCCCTTCTTTTACCTAGGAAATCCTTAATTATTTTTTTTTTTAGTCATCTGCCCTTCTGGCAACTTTTCAGTACGACCTTCTTGATTTAACAAATCTGACTACATCCTCTTGCCCTATGAACTTATCAAGCTCCCTATTATTTCTTATGCGCCTGGTTCCCTCTGAGCATATGCCTTTATATTTTAACCTCAAAAATCCTTAAGGCTAATTGTTGCGAGAGTTTCAGTGTTCAGGTTTCTGTTCCATAGCACACTACCTGTCTTATCAGAGACTTATATATTTTTAATTTGGTTTGTTTGGTCAAAAGGTTTGATTTCATCAATTTTTTAAGGCCATAGTAGGCTCTGTTTCCAGCCATAATTATACTTATGATTTCATCACTTCTCTTGTTCTCCCAGTTTAATTCCACTCCAAGGTAGGTGAATCCATCAACACCTTCAAAGTGATAGGTACCCACGACTAAATTTCATGGCCTTCTGATTGTGGAAGCAGATAATACCATATACTTGGTTTTAGCTTCATTAATCACCAGTCCAACTTTCCTGCTTTCATTATCCAATTGAACTAGAAATTCATTTTAAGTGCTTTCGCTTCTGCCCAATATCATCTGCATAACCAATAATCTGCTTAGTACGGCTTGCAAGATTACCACTCAGAACAAATTTTCCCACAGCCTTATTTAGTGCTTAGTGCCTCTCGAAAACTTTCTTTCAGTTGTTCATTCCCGAGATTTTCCAGATTCCATATCCCTTTAATTAGCCTGCTAACTTTCTACACTTTACTTAATCTATGTCTGAAGACATGTCTTATTAAGAAGTGATCTGATTCACCATTCAGTCTTCTGCAAGCTCTGACATCAATTATACAAGAGGCACATCTAGAAGAGACAAGTAGGAAGTGCCTGAATGGATTCTTGTGTTGGAAGATCGTGCTCTTTATTATATATTACCCCAATGCTGTTAATTGCACAAGACGATGCCCATTTTCATTTGATTTATCATTTAACAAAATAAATTAAATAAGATTGCAAACATATTTTCATTTAACTTTTTGATACCTGGCCCACTAAAAATAAAGAGAAATGGTATGAAAGAGGGTTGTTTTTTTACTATATTCAAATGACAACAAGGTTTCCTTTAAAATCACATCACTAATACACAACGCCAGCAACAATTACTTTTTCCAGTGGGTGCCAGGACATGTAGGAATATCAGGAAATGAAATGGCTGACAAAACGGTGAATCAAAACCAACTACATCGGATAAATGCTAAGGTTCCTTTACTGGATTTGATAAGAGTAGTGAAGGAGTAAATAATGAAAGGAAGGCAGCATTTCTACGACTGGGAATGTGCCTCAAAGGTAAGGATCATTATACAGTTAAACAGAAGATAGCACTGGTTCCTTGGTTTGCGACTCTTGAATTTCATCTCAACCGCTCCAACTTAGTAAAGCTGACCAGGCTTAGGATAAATCATGGTAGAACTAATAAATATCTACATCTTCTGGCTATAGCTAAAAGCGGTCACTGTCCAACATGTCAATGTTTGGAGGATCCTAGACACCTTGCCTTCAAGCACACGCGGATCTATGGGGGGGAGAGAGGAGGGCTTTCGGGCTGAAGCCCTTTCCTCAAAACGGTAAAATATAACCATGTTTTATAGAAACAAATATTAAAAACTATATCGTTAGTATTATCGTGTAATAACATTTAATAAGACTTCAAGAATCCCTTAAACACCATTTCATATAGGTGGTTAATTTCTTTCGGGCTGAATCCCGCCCTAAAATTAAATCCTGAATCCGCTAGTGCCTTCGAGTGCAAGAGATTCGGAAAGCAAAGAAGAATTAGTTTAGGATCCCAAACTACGGATGTTGGAGCTAACTTTCTTCAGTTGATGAATAAAGATAACGCCCGTGATGTGATAAAGTTTTTGAATGACAAAAAAGTCTCCTCTTATTCTCATTTAATTGTTATGAAACTACTGTTACCTCAGTTTTTGACTATTAGTATTTCTAGTTCAAGTTCTTTACATTCAGTCATCATATATCTAGAAAAATTCAATACATATCCAGTTTAATTTCATCTTACAGTCAATAATCATATATATAGAAATATTCAATAAATATCCGGTGTAATTCCATTTTAAAATGACAATTAAAATATTTTATTGGCAAAATATCAAAATACAATTCATCCAAAAAAATCTGGTGCGGTGCGCGCATCACACAACTTTCATTTACTACCCTCTTAGCAGAAATAAGTATTATCAGACAAAGGAGAAGTGAAAATAAAAATTATAGACGCTATAATTATTTATTTTTATATAATTTTAATTTAATTAATATAAATATAATTTTAAATTGGTCCATAATCCTCTTATCTTTTTGTCTCCATTCGAGAAATTGCTGTGTTATATATGTGTGGGATGTTGTATTGAGTTCCTGGCATTTGAGAATTTAAAAAGAAAACAAATTTTTTTTTTATCTT